GCGTCAAGGCTATCAACTCACCACCTCAGACATTGGGTGGAACAGCTACAAATGTCCCAGTGAAACTTGGCCCATACAAAGGAAGCATCGACCTGCGCATCGCAATCATAGATGACTTCGACATCATAGTGGGTTTGGAGTTCATGAGGCAAACCAACACCATTCCAGTACCATTTGCCAACATGCTCCTGATGATGGGAGAAAAAGGCGCCAAGCCCTGCACCATACCATGCTTCCCCATAAAGATGGCCGCTGAAAACATCTCGGCCATGCAATTGGAGAAGGTAGTCAACAGACATGAACCTCAGGTTCAGGCTACCCTTCGCAGCAACAATCAGCCATCATGTCATCGGCCTCAAAAGACTGGTGACACTCATTATCGTGTGAAGACTTGTCAGCCATGCCACAAGGACAAGTCGGATCACTCATCACAACCGGGACCCTCGCAGCCATCATATGTCCCTCAGAGACCATGGGAAAGTGTTTCCCTCAGATTCATCACGGGATTGCCCCAAGTCGGCAATCTTGCATCCATCNGACCCGCAAGACAAAGATGCTGCCATCGGACTTAGTTTTTCCTTGTAATAATCTAAGTCCTTTTCATTGTAATCATAGGCTAGTTTACATCATTTTCATTTCAGTGTGCTTCTACAGCTTTATTAGGACTAGTCTTGTAATGTTGGTTTATTTTTTTTAAGCATTATTAAGGGGGACCAAACAATCAAACATTTCAATCAGCATTTTCTGGTGTCTCTCCCCCTCGACACCACATCATTGTAATCATCATTTTCAGTCATCAATAAAATCATCATCAGCATTCAAAACCCAATTCTCTCTCAGCTTCCGCAATTGCTCACGACATTGGTTTTCCCGCACGGCACTGACAATCTAGTCTAGCGTGCGGCGAGGACCTCATTGGCGGACAACAACCGCACTGACATCGGTTGCTTAGCCTTACGTTGCCCTTCCAAAGATCATCAGGAAGGCGTTGCGTGACAGTGTTTATGTAAGACAAATATCATACACTAACTAATTTGGCATAAATATCGAGTACAGGTAAATTTTTACGGATCTCTATGACATATTTAATTTCTTACACCTTCTCCGTCTAGCTTATTTTTCAATCTCATAAAACTCTCACGTAAAGTAAACAAAATACTCCACACAAAAGCCACGTTCTAAATACATTTTGTAAATAAATTCTCTGTCTCACCAGAAAATATTACTCAAGGGGGTTTCTTTTACGTTTTACCCATTCAAAAGATGAGAGGGGTATCCTTTCCCAACCCTTAAATATTAACAGGGATAAAATGAAATTGACTCTTTAATTTTGGTTGCAACAATCCACGGTAATATTGCTTGAGGCAATAATACTTGACTGGATTTTTTTCCCGATTTCCACATGGCATGGCATATTTATGAGGACAGGTGTTTCCGCAATTAAGGTTTTCCCAAAAAGGTTTGTGCTCACAAGGTCAAACGACACCATCTTCTCAATTTTCTAAGGTTTGTGTTCAATGAAGTTTCGTACGATCAATTATTAGAACCAATACATAAAATAATCTTTCTCCAACGTGTAAAATAAAGGAATTTTTACCTCCTATAGCAAAGGTTAACACCTTATTTATTTTAAATAAATATCATTTAAAAAAATTATATTCTATAAATACCTTTTAAGGTTTATAGCAAAATATTTAATTTTGGTTACCTCCTAGCCCTAAGCCACTAAATACACTAATCAGTTACACTATTTTCTTTCTCTCTCTACTTTGATACATCCCATTCTCTTCCCCCATCCCATTAAAATTTCTGATCTCCTCCTCCTTCCACCGGATTTGTGCAAAGCCCATCTCCTAGATTCTTCAACACAATGACCCAATTTAAAATTTTCAAGAAATTCAAACGCTTGAAGCTTTTTGAGCCATCACCAGGTGTACTTGGTTGCTTTTTCTTCACTGTTTGCTTATTCTTGTGTCTGTTTTTGTTGGATTACAGAAAAGTAAACAAAGGGCCTCATTTGTATCATCAAACATCCTTGTTTGCTACGTTGATTGGGCTCAATGGATCGTCTGTCCCATATAACAAGATTGAAAAGTTGGATTTTTTGGAAAAGGGAGCAGAAAGTTGTGATCTTTTTTATGAGAATTGGGTTTGGGATGAAATTTATCCACTGTATAAATCAAAGGATTGTAAGTTCTTGGATGAAGGCTTTCGTTGTTCTGAGAATGGTAGACCTGATAATTTTTATACTAAATGGCATTGGCAACCTAAAGATTGCAAAGACAGCAGCTGCCGACATATAATTCGGTTGGTTTGTTCTTGAACAAAGACGATGGAGGTTGGGGCTGAGCAACTTGATTTTCTGTTAATATATTTCAATGTATTTTCATGTATTTCATTGTATTCATGTCTTTTTTTTCATTGTAATTCAATGTGTCTCGTTGTATTCCATGTATTTCATTGTATTCACTGCCTTTTTTTTCTCATTGTATTTCAATGTATCTCGCTGTATTCTATGTATTTCTTTTTTTTCAATTGTATTCACTGTCTCGCTATATGTCATGAATGTATTCATAAGTTTTTTTAATTGATATAATTTATGTATTCAAATGTATTAAATAATTTCTCTGAAGAATACTATGTTTTTGGGGTATTTTCGGTTGAGAATCTTTTTTATAACTGAAAATACAAAATTTGTGTGTTATAATTGAGTTTGTTGAGTTATATTAGGAGTCTATTATGTTAATTGATTCACTTTCTGTTTTAAAAACAGTGTAATCCCCTATTTCACGCTGTGAATACAGTCGAATACAATAATCTGTCCAGCTGTAATCCCATGTTTCTCTCCATGAATACAGTCGAATACACTCGAATACAACAACCGATTAGCTGGACTTCCCTGATTCACGCATATTTTTGCTATTGTATTCATGAATACAATACAATAGCTTAAATACATCAAATACATCTTATAACCACATAAAAAGTATCTATAATCTATAATATAGCAAATGGTATCTATAGATGACTAATTACTACTAAAAGATAGTGCTTTATGAAAATTTCCCTAAAATAAATATATATGGCGGATGGAATTATGAAGAAGATGCCCGAGGATGTGGTAATATATATACTTTTGAGACTTTCAGTGAAATCTCTCATGAGATTCAAAGGTGTCTCAAAAACTTTTTACACTCTCATACAATCCTCCACATTCGTCAATCTTTATCTCTATCGCACAACAACTTCCAAAGATGAATTCATTCTCTTGAAACGTTGCTTCAGACAAGAAAACTATAGATATAAAACTATATTGTCTTTCCTTTCAGGCGATGATGATGATTATCTTAACCCTATTTTTGAAGATCTAGATGTGACTCATTTGACCTCCACTTATAATTTTGATCACGATCAACTCATTGGTCCTTGCCATGGGTTGATTGCTTTGATGGATTACGAAACAACCATCTTATTTAATCCATCGACAAGAAATTATAGAGTTCTCCCACCCAGTCCTTTTGGTTGTCCACAACATCTCTATCGTAACGTTCAATGTGTTGGATTTGGATTTGACCCTGTTTTCAATGACTACAAGGTTATTAGAATTTCGGAACTTACATGGTAGATCAAGACGATTATCCAGAAGGAATATAGAGAAAAGTTGAAATCTATGAATTGAGTATTGATAACTGGAGAGAATTAGATCATGCAGTGGGTCAACAGTTGACCAAGTTTCGTTGTGTCGATTGTTCTCAGATGTTTTACAGGAAATCTTGTCATTGGATTGCATTTCTAGACATAGACGAATACGTAATTCTTTGTTTCGACATGAGCACCGAGATCTTTCGCAGTATGAAAATTCCTGAAACTTGTCAATTAATCGATGGACCGTTCTGTAGACTCGTTTTATTACATAATTCTCTAACCTTGATTTATTACCCCTATCCAGAGCCTGTGATTCCTATGGAAAAAGATCTGATGAACATATGGATAATGCATGATTACAATGTATACGAGTCGTGGATAAAGAAATATGTGTTGCTCCCAAACGCACACGCAAGTATACGTGGTCGACAAGTAATATAATGATAAGTTGAGTGTCGAACCCACAGAGACTTGTGTAAACTACTCACTAAATCACTAAAATTGTTATTGAATCCAACTAAAATCAAAGTCCAATAATATGATTATATTATACTACAATTCTAAATAATACCTAAGTTATCAAGTAACGAGTTGATTGTTGTGTATTCAGTAGAGACAGATATTCCAGAGTTGTGATCGATTCACCAATCGTATTGTGTTCTAATTAACTCTCCCTTTCATATAATTCACTCATGGTTGCTAATTAATCGATAAATGCTCTCATAGCCTTCTCCCGAAGTACTACTCACCTATTCTCAATAGATTAACGCCTATATTCCTATGAAATCAATCTATTAAGAACGCATTAAGATCACGATATTTAATTAAGCACGGTGACTAGGTATATTCCTATCCTAACCACAAATCCGCTCCCCCTAAGGGTTAAGATCATGCTCTCTTCAATTCTTCTCTAATCTAAACACGGCTTTCCCAAGCATAGCATAGATAGTAAATAGAACCTAACTGCTGGCCAGACAATTAAGCAATTAAACGCAGAATTGAAGAAACAACCATATATTGGTGAATTATAATCAAGGTCAAGCTAATATAAAACAACAATATTCATGGCTAAATCACAACCCCAGAACAATGGGTGTTTAGCCACTCATGATGTAATCAAACAATTGCATAAGTGTTGAATCAATTGGAAATACTAGAAAAAGATGAAGAAAACTGAGAATTCTTCGCTTCCTCACGATCCTGTGTGTATCTCTACTCCAAAGTGGCGTCTCCCCCCTCAAAAATAGGTTTAGTCTTGCTTTTATATCAGTTGGGTAGGTCTAGGGCCAAAATAAACTTGTCCCGGGCAAAATAAGACACGATTCGCGTCACCGGCGCCCAGCCCGGCGCCCTCCATAGCGCCCCAATTTTTTAGCCTACTGTTTTCAGCGCCACAGGTGGCGCCAGGCGCTGCCTGTGGCGGCCAACTGCTTCCTTTCCCGATTTTGTTCGTTTTAGCTTCAAATCTTTCACGTTTTGCCCCAAATTGCTCCGGAATCATTCCTACAAGTAAAAACACTTCAAATCAATATAATTCATAGCATTTAACATCCCAAATTCACGAAACAAGAGTAAGATATGAGGCGATATACATAAAAATATATATACTTTAAGCTAAACATCAACACCCCACACTTAGGCTCTTGCTCGTCCTCGAGCAATAGGACTATCTAATAAACCCCCAACTACGTACAAGTATCAATTATAGAGGAGCACTTTAACCTTTAACTACACACTATACCCTTGACTATGATCAATACCGGCACACAAGCATGACCACACAAAATTTCACATTCTTCCCGTTTAAGCATGCCCAAGTATAACATTTCAATTCAATCAATTCCAACAACCTATTTGTCACCACCCAACCTCAAAAGCCGACTTGCATTCACTAAGCACCCTCAACTCATGCACTTACCCAACAAGAAAGTTTACAACATTACAATCATTCATGAGATCATGTGCCCTCACCAACAAACCGAAAGTGAATATAAATTCGTCCACACATTCAAATATGCTTTTGAACATAATTTAAGGACATCACACAATTGAACAAAATTCGCTCACTCCCAGAAATAATTCATATGCATCCCTTGGTCATTCCATAAGCTTGCCCGTAGTGTATATTTCCACTAATTTAAGCTAGCCAAATCTAGGATCAATTAGGACTTTTAGGTTGTAATGTAGGCTAGGGGACAGGTACGATATATTTAGAAATAGTGATTCACCCTCCTAAGCACTTTAATACACTAGATTTACACTTCAAGCACATATTCTTCTCAACCAAATCACTTGCCATATACAACATAGCCCTCTTTTCACTTAAGCACTTCTCTATTTTGTCACTAGCACAACTCAATAAGAATTGGAGGTGTTTTATTTTCTACATACATTCACACTATCATTTTTCTTCTCTTTTCTCTCTCTTTTTTTTCTTCACACACTCCATACATTAAATTTCATCGGCTAGTGACTTTTGATTTCAACTTTAGTGCACCAACGAGACCTTCCATGTTTCCACTCGAAAACTACTCCCTAATATCTCACCTTGCATCTTTTAGCGACTAAGTGCCTTAGGAGGTAAAGGTTCAATCAATATCAAATTAAGAACAAAATAAGGGATGACTTGTAATGTGGGTACCAAAAGAAAGGTCTATAGGCTCAAAGAGGCTAGCAACGGAAAATTCTATTATTATGTGACAAGCACATCCATGATCAAGCAAGAAATTGCCTACGTCATCTCCTAGATATAGCACAACTTACAATTTCGCTTCAATTAACACACGGGGCAAGTTCTAGACTACACATGATAGCACAGAAAATCACAAATCCTCACACACACGTTGCACATGACTCAATCAAGACGGTTCTGTTCAAATCTCAAGTCAAGCAAGCACAATTAAATGATAAATTTAAGCAACATTGCACTATGCGACATACAAGTCAAACAACTGAGAAAAGGCGTCACAAAATAGGCTATTTACTTTACTTAGGCTTCACAATTCAAATCATATACATAGAAAAATAGAATGTATGTCATAGCCTAATGTGCCAACATCAACCATGCCAGTGAGTATCTTAGAACGACTCAGTTCCTCCCTAAACTACTCCTAAAAAGAAATTAAAAGTGCCCGGTTCGAGCTACATCCTTGGAAAAGTACCGGTGCCCAAAGAAAAACCAAAGAATACTGCCTAGCTATTCTAAGAAAATAAAATGACATATATATATATATATAAAATCTTTTTGGTGTTTTTAAATCGTACTTTAATCCCTCAAGAAAATTGTCCAAAAGATCCATCGTCGGGAACAGTCCGAGCTTTTTCAACTTTTTTTTATTTTATTTTTATTTTTTATTTTTTTTGAACCTAGACTATGTCTACTACGAGTTATAAAAGAAAGACAATTATACTCCAGAAAGTAGTTTCCCCACCCCACACTTATATTATGCATAGTCCTCTATGCACGATCATAGAGAAATATTAAAACAAGGGTGAGAAATACTCCCTGAGACCCTCTCAGACCTAGCTCGGACATGATCCTCAATATTAAGGGCTGGGATGACCCCACACTTAATATCAAACATGCTCCTCAACTTCAAATTTGGGTACTCAGACTTCCCCTACTCTGCAAAAATAAAAAAACAACAACACAAAACACAGTAAAAAGAAATAATCAATAGATAAAAGATACACAGGTTGGGTTGCCTCCCAACATGCGCCTTATTTATAGTCGTGGCACGACTCTGCTACTCTGCTCAGGTTGGGTGCTTTCTCTTCTTCTTTCTCCCATGAATTCTAGCCTTTTTGCGCGCTCTCAGAAGGTCTCCTCTTTCATCTCTGTCTCTTTTCTCAATCATCTTTACACGCTCAACTAGAAACACGACCTCCTTTAACTCAATTGTCCCATCTGGATCACTATAATTCACATAAGGACTCTGCTTTATCCCCTTCGATTCTACCACAGTAAAAATCATGCACAAGTCCTCATAATGCTTAGGAAGCTTAAGTGCCTTGTACACATTAAAAGTGACCTCCTCATTGTCAACTCTCATTTTTAACTTCCCTGCTCTCATATCAATAATTGCTCCACCAGTGGCTAAGAATGGTCGCCCCAAAATAATGGGCACTTACTCATCTGCCTCGTAATCAAGAACAATAAAATCAGCAGGAAGAATAAACTTTCCCACTCGAACTAACACATCCTCAATAATTCCTTTGGGCATAACTAGTGACCTATCTGCTAGCTGTAAAGTGATTGTAGTAGGTCTAAGCGCCCCCAATCCTAGTTGCTTGAACAAAGAGGATGACATCAAATTTATACTGGCCCTTAAATCACATAAGGCTTTACCAACTTCTTGTTTTCCAAGAGACAAAGGAATTGTGAAACTCCCAGGATCCTTAAACTTAGAAGGAAGTTTACTCTGAACTCTGGCACTACACTCTTCAGTAAGTGCAAATGTTTCAAACTCTGCATGTCTTCATTTGTTTGACACAATATCTCTGAGATACCTTGCATACTTAGGCACTTCCTGCAAAATTTCCACCAAAGGCAGATTCACGCTCACTTGGCTCAAAATATCGAGGAATTTCTTGTACTTGACATCATCTTTTTGCTTCTGCAGTCTTTGTGGAAACGGAGGTGGTGGCCTAGTCTCAATTACTGGCTTGGGTCCTTTATCATCTTTCTCATTCCCCTCAACTGGCTTGGGAGCTAATTCTCCTTCAGGATGATCTGTATTCTTCTTTTTCTTTGGAACTTCTTCTAGTGCTCTTCCATTTATCAAGGTAACCGCATTGACTTGAGCTTTAGGATTGGGCTCAGTATCACTTGGAAGAGCTCCAGCTGGTCTAGTGTTTTGAGCACTGGCAAGCTGTCCCATTTGATGCTCCAAATTTCTCACTGTTGTGGCGAGGGCTTGCTGTTCAGCCATCATTTTTTTCAACATGTCTTCAAGGTGACTTGTAGGACTCGCTTGTTGTTCAACCTGAGGTGGTCTATATTGTTGTTGAGGTGCTTGAGGCCTGTATTGATTCTGAGTGCCCTGGTTTCCACCCCAAGAGAAGTTTGGGTAGTTCCTCCAGTTGGGATTGTAAGTGTCCCCATACTGATTTGTTTGGCCTCGATTTGCATTACCCACAAAATATACAGACTCTGGATTTGCTAGGCATAGATTGCTTATGTGACCCTCTCCACATACTTCACAAAATATTTGAACTTGTTGCAGTGGTTGGGCTTGTTGCTTGTTGATACTCAAGTTCATCTGGTTGACTTGATTGGTCAGTGTAGAAATCTGCGCTGATAATGCTGAGACGACATCTAACTCAAGAACCCCTGCAGACTTTTGCACTGTGTGTCTGCCCATCTCTCCTTGCCAATCCGGATTGCTCTTGGAGAATTTGTTCAATAATGCATATATCTCGTCAAAGCTTTTCTCCAACACTTGACCCCCAGCTGCAGCATCTACCACGATCTTTGTTTACGCATGTAGCCCTTCTATGAAAGTGTGAGCTAACACTTCATTCGTCTGATTGTGATGAGGACAGTCTCTGAGTAGCCCCTTGAACCTTTCCTTAGCTGAGTATAAAGATTCTCCCGCTTTCTGTTTGAAGGCCACTATCTCACTTCTGATCTTTACAGTTTTGCCTGAAGGAAAGAACCTTGCAAGAAATTTTCTTGCCAAATCATTCCATGATGTAATGGAATTAGCTGGTTCTGCCTTTAGCCATCGCTTAGCCTCGCCCAACAGAGAGAATGGAAAAAGTGTGAGCCTCACATAATCTGGAGTGACCCCGTTAGTGATATAAGTATCACTAATCTCCAAAAAGTTCAGAATATGTTGTTGTGGATCCTCGTGTGGAAGACCCATAAATTGCCCGTTTGCATGAAGCAACTGGATCATGCTCAGTTTCAGCTCAAAGTGCCCGGTGATTCTGGGCTTCACTATACTGGAGTTCCTGAGATCTGAGCAATAATCAAGTAACGTTAGACTAGACTAAATAAACAATTAAAGCAAAAACTAGCAAGTACTTAATATTCAAGTCCCCGGCAACGGCGCCAAAAACTTGTTGCTCCCAAACGCACATGCAAGTATACGTGATCGACAAGTAATATAATGATAAGTTGAGTGTCGAACCCACAGAGACTTGTGTAAACTACTCACTAAATCACTAAAATTGTTATTCAATCCAGCTAAAATCAAAGTCCAATAATATGATTATATTATACTACAATTCTAAATAATACCTAAGTTATCAAGTAAAGAGTTGATTGTTGTGTATTCAGTAGAGACAGATATTCCAGAGTTGTGATCGATTCACCAATCGTATTGTGTTCTAATTAACTCTCCCTTTCATATAATTCACTCATGGTTGCTAATTAATCGATAAATGCTCTCATAGCCTTCTCCCGAAGTACTACTCACCTATTCTCAATAGATTAACGCCTATATTCCTATGAAATCAATCTATTAAGAACGCATTAAGATCACGATATTTAATTAAGCACGGTGACTAGGTATATTCCTATCCTAACCACAAATCCGCTCCCCCTAAGGGTTAAGATCATGCTCTCTTCAATTCTTCTCTAATCTAAACACGGCTTTCCCAAGCATAACATAGATAGTAAATAGAACCTAACTGCTGGCCAGACAATTAAGCAATTAAACGAAGAATTGAAGAAACAACCATATATTGGTGAATTATAATCAAGGTCAAGCTAATATAAAACAACAATATTCATGGCTAAATCACAACCCCAGAACAATGGGTGTTTAGCCACTCATGATGTAATCAAACAATTGCATAAGTGTTGAATCAATTGGAAATACTAGAAAAAGATGAAGAAAACTGAGAATTCTTCGCTTCCTCACGATCCCGTGTGTATCTCTACTCCAAAGTGGCGTCTCCCCCCTCAATAGGTTTAGTCTTGCTTTTATATCAGTTGGGTAGGTCTAGGGCTGAAATAAACTTGTCCCGGGTAAAATAGGACACGATTCGCATCACCAGTGCCCAGCCCGGCGCCAGGCGCCCTCCATAGCGCCCCAATTTTTGAGCCTACTATTTCCCGATTTTGTTCGTTTTAGCTTCAAATCTTTCACGTTTTGCCCCAAATTGCTCCCGAATCATTTCTACAAGTAAAAACACTTTAAATCAATATAATTCATAGCATTTAACATCCCTAATTCACGAAACAAGAATAATATATGAGGCGATATACATAAAAATATATATACTTTAAGCTAAACATCAATATGCAATAAGAGGTCTTCTTATTGAATCTCCATTAGCTGTTTGGAAGGGTTATTTGATGATTTATCAGAGTAGAAGTGGATGTTTGATGTCATATAATCTTAAATCTAATGAAATCAAGGAATTCAGTTTTCATGGTTTTCCTAAAAGTCTCAGAGTTATAGTTTACAAGGAGAGCTTGACATCAATTCCAAGAGAAAAAGCTACACAAGTTCATAAATTTTAGAGGAGGTACAATCTTCAACTTGAATTTGATAATTAGCACCAAATATTTTCCAACATAGTTTTAACCAGATTAACACTTTCTTCTTTTTGGGTAAATAGCTTGTTTGCTTTTTTCCTTTTCCTTTTTGGGTAAATAGTCTGTCTGAGTTATGGCAAAACCGTCTCCGTTAACATACTAGTATTTCTTTATGTTGCAACTTTAGTAATAGCCATTTAGATAGTGCTTTCTTTCTATTCACTCTCATAAGAGGGTAATACTTTTTTTCCCCTTAACTGTAATGCTATATTTAGTTTGAATTGACTATATTTCTCTCCATTGGAAAACATTTTTATTTGTAAAACGTTTTCATTTGAAAACCTTAGACGTTTTTTTCCTTCCCTTTCCTGCAATGCCATGTTTAGTTTGAATTGGCGGTGCTAAGGTCGTTGTCAGTTTTCGCAACTAGCAATGAAAAATTAGGGCAATGGTTGGTGATCAAATTGGGATTTTATAATTAACGACTTAATGGTTTGGGGGCGAATTACTCAATTTTCTTATCGGATAAATCGTTAACCCGTTAATTTTTTTATATTTACACTTATATCCCTATGTATATAAAGTACTATTGAAACTAGATTATAAAGTACTATTGAAACTAAATGTAAGTACTACTATTTGATCGGTGATGAGTGTGAGTTGTGAACTTGTGATTACTTTTTGAGCCTAGATTATATAAATATAAGCACTACTCACAATACTCGTCATAATATGGTAAATTTAAGCACTATTCACAGAAAATAAATATAAGCACTACTCACAGAAAACTACTGACGAGCACCTGGCAGATGTGTGCTTTACCCCAAAATTTTCCTATCTCTAATTTTCTATGTTTTTTATTGTCTTTTTTATTTAGTCGATAAACTGCCGGATAATCGCTAATCTGATACAATCCACCCGATGTTTTATTGGATGGCTAGCTGATTACTATATTTATAAATCGATAATTGATAAGCCAAACCGTTAAGCGTAAATATCCGCCGACAAGTACCCCTATGTATAACAACTGTAAAAACGAAGAAAGTTTACCCTAAGAGGCTTGAGAACTTTTCAAGCTAAGATGCTCATGCTGTATCTATTCGCAAATAATTCTCTTCTAGCACAAATCAAGCTCTTTACCCTAAAAACGGATAACAATTGAATTTATACTGTGGTTTTAAGGATACGTGATTCACTTGGCACAAACTGAGAGAGAACGTAAATAGATATTGAAATTAAATAAAAATAAAGCAAACCAAATGAGATTTCTATCTTTGATCCTCGTGCTAGGTCACCCTCGAATCAAACAAGTATTTTACTTGAAAGTATGAACAGAATAACAAAGTATTGAGAGCTTAAGAAGATGATATATTGCTTTATGTAACGTGAATATGATGTCCTTTACAAATGATCAGACCCCCTTTATATAGTAGGGGAATCCCACTATTGGTACAATTCTCAATACAATAAGAAATCTCATGATTGGCTAACTAATCGGCCTCTTCTTGATATGTGCCGAGATTTCTGCCGTTATCCTCGCCCGTTTGCGGATATTTTGGTTTTTTGTTATTTGGCTCGGTAAGCTTCCCATCTTGCTCGATCTCTATCTTGTCTGGCTCCAATCTTAACCTACCTCGATCGATCTTTGGGTCTCGAGCTCGGCATTCTAACTTTACACCGCGGTCCGATATAACTTAGGGTCGAACCTTAGCCTGCTTCATTCCAGGTTAAGCCCGATTTTGACTATATACAGATAGTCCCTCGTTTCTTGGAGAGAAGGCAACGAGAAACAATATGATCTTTTCCAATCCCAACTCGATTGGTCATGATGTAAACAGCGAACCCGACCATGACATTAGCGACAAGTGGATATTGAAACGTGCCGTCGATTCGAATATCGAGGTATTAAATGCCTGTCAGTTGTTGTTGACCACTATTAGTTCTGAACTGCCGTCTTCAACCTATAAATGTGTCATTCTTCTTTTGCCCAAACTTTACTTTCAAATCTTCTTTGCTCTAATCTCCAAAATCCTTTGCTTCCCTAAAAGCCTTGAACTTTCAGATCTTTGGTGTTTCTTTTCCTCTTTCATCACAAAATACCAAATGCATTTTCTCAGTTTCCATTCTTCTTCACTCGTAAAAATGGCTAAGACTTCAAAAACCATTCCGCAAAAGGAAGCTGCTTACTCGTCCTGGCCGGCCGGCGAGCAACCAGCGGTGGAGCCACGCCCTGAAGAGTTCTTTCCCGGAGGGTGCGTCATTGACTCTGACTTTAAGGTTGAAAAGACCCCATCGGTTACGGGTGTATGTGAGCCAATGTTGAGGTATATATGCATGATCATCGGTAATCTCCTCGACCAAGTTAAAGAGGACTACAACTGGGTCAACAAGCACGTGGTGGTGCCCTCGCTTGAGGAATCAATCACTACCCATGTGGAAGGGTTTCTAAGTGCTTACACTTACCCTTTCACATTGGGTTCTTTAGATTCGGTTATTATAGACTTCTCTTTCTGGAGGATAGTTGATGTGATTCTTTGAGTTAACAAAGAACCAACCGACCAGGATCAAGATCTTGAAACAAAAACGTGGTTTGTGGGTCGATTTCAAGAAATAACGTATCTCAAGTTTTAGGACTCGAAATCTACTGATTCAAAAACGAGGTAAAAGATGACGATTTGAACTATAAGAAATACTATTTACTCGTTCAAAATAAGTAAATAACGATGCTGCTCTAGTTCTATCAAAAGAACAAATTTAGATCAAGAACCGTGTTCTTGAAAGATCAAGAACTAAACAAGTTCCTAAAGTCACCACTTGGAATCAATTAACGTGATAAAGAAACACCACACGCAATTGAAAACAAGATAAAGACTATCAATACCTTTCTTGGAACCAAAAACAAGGATAAAGAAGACAAAATAGAGAAAAATACTCTATTGTAAATTAGGGTTAAAGCCAAAAATGTGAATTGCATTCTACAAGGCAAGAGAACTCTTTATATAGGCCTAGAGTCTCTTCTTTGATGGCTACGATTCCTATTCTAATAAGAAAATAAAATAACTAAAGACAAGTAACATAAAATCCCTATTCTACAAGGAATAGAAACTGGAATCCTACTAAAAGGAAAATCCTTATTCTAAAAGGAATAAACTAAATCCTATTTTAAAAAGGAAAGAATCTTGACTTCTTGAAATCAATCTTGAGCTTCTTGAAAATAAGTCCACATGTTGGGACTTGAGCTCTAAAACATGATCTTTGCCACAATTAATAAAATTTAACATAGATTCTTCGTTTACATCATTCTCCCCTGGTTGAGAAAGACTCGTCCTCGAGTCTAAAGGCTCCACAAATGATACAAGATTGACAACTTCCATGATATGATTGAACTCATATTCACCAGACTCTAAGTTGCATTTTTCTAACCTATCAAAGAGCTTCATCGTATTGTAACAAAGTTTAGCATGTGGGCGAACTAAATTCCACTTTCTCAATAGTATCTTTGTACAAATATTTCTACAATGAATCCTCTTAAATCGATTTTTAAACACTAATCCATAATCATAAGTTATTTAATTTTGATCTTCAAAAATCCTGAACTTCTCCATATCAATGTAGTACTTATGGGATATGCACAAAAATGTCGGTTTAGTACCACAAAAACCTTTAAAATAATCAAATTCAAGTGCCTTTGGATCAAGCTTGGAGATTGAAGTATATCTTCTTGAGAATTCATCAGCAACAATGCTCTCATATTTAACTAGATCATAACCATATATGGAATTTGTGTTGAGATTTTCTGTTCCAACATATTCTTGAAAATATTCATCTTTGGAGGCAAGAAAAAAGCTGGAACAAAATATGAACTCAAACCCTCCCTAATAGAATCCTTTTAAGCAACCCTTCCTCTTGTATTTGTAAAATTTCATAAACCTTTGCATTAACGAAATATGTTGCCTCTCTTGGAATGATAGAATCAACAATCAAATCAATATTATGTTGAGCATCTCTATTTTTTGGAAAGTTAAGCTCATATATGGGATGCTCCAACGTATCATTATCAAGCTTCATAGGTAAATCCTCAACTTGTGGATCTAGTGCATGCTCCTCCTCCTTGTGCTCTTCCATAGTAATACCAACATTCAAAGACTTTTCTCTATTGATTGGACCAATTGTTTGTAATTTTGTCACAAAAGAATCATCCTTGGGCTTAAGATATTTAGCAACTTCTTCGAGATTCAATGGTACTAAAATAATCTTACGTTCATCCTTTGTAAAAGAATATATGTTAAGGTTTTCATCATATTTAGCACACATATCATACACCCATGGTCTTCCAAGTAATAAGTGACAAGCATCCATATTCACTACGTCATACCAAATCTTGCCTTTATAGATCTTACCAATAGAAAAAGAAACTAGGCATTGACGAGTTACCTCTAAAATATCATTATCTTCAACTTCAATGCTGTAAGGATATGGATGAAGTTTGGTTGACAAGCCAAGTTCAAAAACAATCTCTTCAGAAATGATATTTATGTGTCTCCCACGATCAATGATCAATGAACAAACTTTTTCATAGGAGGTACACCTAGTGTGGAAGAAAGATTCATGTTGTCTCGTTTATTCATCTTCTTAAACCAAGAATCTTCCTCTTGGTTGAATATTGGCCATGATAAATTCGTCAACTTGGGACCTGTGGATTATAGCTCTGATACCAAATTGATGTGATTCTTTGAGTTAACAAAGAACCAACCGACCAGGATCAAGATCTTGAAACAAAAACGTGGTTTGTGGGTCGATTTCAAGAAACAACGTATCTCAAGTTTTAGAACTCGGAATCTAATGATTCAAAATGAGGTGAAATATGACGATCTGAACTATAAGAAAGACTATTTACTCGTTCAAAATAAGTAAATAACGATGCTGTACCGTTCTATCAAAAGAACGAATTTAGATCAAGAAACGTGTTCTTGAAAGATCAAGAACTAAACAAGTTCCTAAAGTCACCACTTGGAATCAATTAACATGATAAAGAAACACCACACGCTATTGAAAATAAGATAAAGACTATCACCACCTTGCTTGGAACCAAAATAAGGATAAAGAATACAAAATAGAGAAAAATACTCTATTGTAAATTAGGGTTAGAGCCAAAAATGTGAATTGCATTCCACAAGGCAATAGAACCCTTTATATAGGCCTAGAGTCTCTTCTTTGATGATTATAATTCCTATTCTAATAAGGAAATAAAATAACTAAAGACAAGACAAGTAAAATCCCTATTTTACAAGGAAAAGAAACTGGAATCCTACTAAAAGGAAAATCCTTATTCTAAAAGGAATAAACTAAATCCTATTTTAAGAAGGAAAGAATCTTGACTTCTTGAAACCAATCTTGAGCTTTGCGCTTCTTGAAAATAAGTCCATATGTTTGGACTTGAGCTCTAAAATATGATCTTTTCCACAATTAATAAAATTTAACATAGATTCTCTGTTTACATTAATAGTGATATTGCTCCGCTTCTTCGTGACCCAATTCGATGGGATTCCCTTTTGATAAGTAGGGATTTTGACTACTTATTTGCACTCTTTTACTTTCGTTTTAGCTCAAAATTACTTAAATGTATTCCCGAAAACTGATGAAATGTGCTTCATTGCAGGAGTATTGGAATATGAGTCAAAGAGATGAAAATCAACTCAAGAAGGAGTAATTTTGGACAAGGACTAAAACAAAGCAAAATGAGAAAAATGCAGACCGCATAATATTGAGTGCGGCCGCAGATCATGAAGAACCTCTGACAGATTTCCTTTGCAAAGTGCGGACCGCACAATTATTGTACTGTCGCAGAAGATGAGGTTCAGAGAGATGGGAGTCTGGATCCATGAAGAAGTGCAGACCCAACTATATTGTGCGGCCGCACTAAAAAACGTGCGGTCCACAGAAGTCTCTCATGTCAAGCTCAAGTTCAATAGTGCGGTCGTACTCAGAAATGTGTGATCCGCAGAATCTGAAGAAGTGCAGCAGCAACCTAGAATTGTGCGGCCATCCTGTCATGCCAACTTCGAAGTGCGGACCGCACACAAAATTATGCTGCCACAGAACCTCCGCAGGGGAAATTTTGTCTGATAATTTCAGTTGTGTATAAATAGTCTTTTTTGTCAAAATTAGGTCAAGTTTGAACACCAGAAAATAGATAGCCGTTTTTCCTCTACTTCTTTGGGTAACTTTGTAATAGTTTATCATTTTAACATTGGATTTTCTTCCCTTTATCATCTATTATAAGTTTAATCTTATTTTCTTCAATTTTCTCTATGAGTAGCTTATTTCTTAGCAAGGGTTGTGACCCAACCCTAGTGTGTGTACCTAATGAGTATTTAATTTAGGGCTTGTTTGTGATTAGGTTTGTGATATTTAGCCTAGTTCTTGCTTGAATTTAAGAATTAATGGTTGTAAACGTTGAATCATGCCTAGTTGACTTAGACTCTACTTGAGAAAGAGAGACTAAGTCTAATAGCCTGTTTGGCCAAGCTTCTCAAGAGAAAAAAGTGCTTTTTTGTTTTCCAAAAGAACTTTTTTTTTTCCTAATTTGAGGTGTTTGGCCAAGCTTATTTGGGAAAAAGGTGATTTTGGGAAGAAGCAGAAACAGTTTCAGAGAAGCAGAAAAAAGTAGCTTCTTTCCAAAAGCAGAAGCAGAAACAGTTTTGGCTTTTCTTCTTACCTAAAATACCCTTAACAAAATATAGTATATACCAAAATAACCCTTAAACCTAATACTTAGGATATTAATTTATAAATATTTCTTTTTATTTTTAGGATAACTTTCTAATATATAGTGACTTTAGGGGTGAATGCTTTTATATTTGTTGACGGAATTTTAATATATTTAACTTATATTAAAAGAATTAAGTACTTTTCAATTTTATTTTCATATTTTACTTAAATAAAATGAATTTTTTTTGATTATTGCATGTAATAACAAAATTTTGATATTATATTTTTACTTATAATATTAATTATTTAGTAAATCTATTCATGTCCTTATTCGTAATTTGACACTTAAAAGCACTTTCTAAAAAGCTTGGCCAAACACAAATTATTTCTCAAAAGTGCTTTTCAGACTGATTCGCCAAACACAAACTACTTCTCTGCAAAAGTACTTTTTTCAAAAGCACTTTTGAAAAAAGCACTTCTCAAAATAAGCTGATTTCTCCAGCTTGGCCAAACAGGCTATAGGAAAACTTGGCTAACGAGGATTTGGGGCGAACTCAAGGAATTGATAGCCCCAATTAAAAGGTTGAATCTAGAGATAGTAAGACCCGACTTCACCGGACTTGAGCATCTATCACTTGTTTTATGAATTACCCATTTGGACTTGAGAAAGATAAATTGGGCAAAACCACTCTAACTACCGAGAGGTATCGAGTGGGTAATTGCGTGTGATTGCTATATTACACCCCAACCAATCAAACCTTCCTTAAAGCCCACAATCCGTTGGGTAACCACCTAGGTGGAAGTCACGACCCTAGATCTTTTATAAACTTGAAAAACAACAACACCAAAAATATCGTTCTCTAGCTTTTCATTTACAAACATTAGCATAAAAATTAGAAGTAGAAAGAAACAACCAAACATGTGGAAGTGCATTTTGGGCACATCATACACTTAGTCTAGATATATACCTATCCAATATAAGCTCTCTATGGAATCGACCCTGACTTACGTTGGGTAATTATAATTGCATTGACCGCTTTACAATCCCAATAAGTGGTGTGAATTTGGGCGACATCAATTTTACCCTCGACCAAATCATTTGATGCAGTATGGGTGATTGTGGATAGGCTGACCAGGTCAGCTCATTTCCTTCCTGTGATGACTACCTATTCTTTCGAGCAACTGGCTCGAGTTTATATCCGTGAAATTGTCAGACTTCATGGCGTGCTGGTATCTATTATTTCTGACCGGGGTACGTAGTTTACATCACGGTTTTAGAGAGTCGTACAACATGAGTTGGGTACTCGAGTGGAGTTGAGCACAACATTTCACCCTCAGACAGACGGACAGTCCGAGCGCACTATTCAGACTCTTGAGGATATGCTTCGTGCGTGTGTGATGAAGTTTGGAGGTTCTTGGGATTAGTTCTTTCCACTTGTGGAGTTTGCCTACAACAACAGTTATCAGTCCAGCATTCAGATGGCACCATATGAGGCTCTGTATGGTAGGTGGTGTCGGTCCCCAGTGGGTTGGTTCGAGCCGGGCGAGCCTAGATTATTGGATACAGACTTAGTTCAGGATGCTTTGTAGAAGGTTAAGGTGATTCAGGATAGACTTCGCACAGCCTAGTCCAGATAGAAGAGCTATGTATACCGGAAGGTTTGCAATGTTGCATTCATGGTTGGAGAGCGGGTCTTACTCCGGGTTTCGCCTATGAAAGGTGTTATGAGGTTCAAAAAGAGGGGCAAGCTAAGCCCAAGGTTTATTGGTCCCTTTGAGGTGTTGTAGTGAGTTGGGGAGGTTGCTTATGAGCTTGCCTTACCTCCCAGTTTAGCAGGAGTTCATCCGATATTTCATGTTTCGATGCTTCAGAGGTATCACGACGATCCGTCTCACGTGTTGGATTTCAGCTCAGTCTAGTTGGACAAGAATCTATCTTATGTTGAGGAGCCTGTGGCTATCTTGGACATGCAGGTTCGAAAGCTGAGGTCAAAGAACATTGCATCAGTAAAGGTTCAGTGGCGGGGTCAACAGGTCGAGGAGGCGACTTGGGAGACCGAGCAGGAGATGCGCAACCGTTATCCTCATCTTTTCACCACTTCAGGTATGTCTCTATGCTTGTTAGAGGACGAATGATTGTTTTAAGAGGGGGAGGATGTAATGACTTGGCCGGTCCTTTTGAAAGTTAGATCCCCGATCCCCTACTAACTGCTTTCCTCATATCCTTTGTTGTTATTATGACTTGCCGAGAAGTTTCATTTTGGATTTTGGAGTGTTTTGGGACACTTAGTCCCTAGATGGAGGATTAAGTCTTAGGATTTGGACCGTAGTCGAAACTGTGCGAAGACGACTCCAAAATAGAGTTTCGTCGATTCCGTTAGCTCTGTTGGGTGATTTTGGGCTTAGGGGCTTGTTCGAATTGTGTTTGGAGGTCCGTAGCTCATTTAGGCTTCAAATGGCAAAAGTCGAATTTCTGGAGTTTTGGACTGGTAGTGGAGTTTTTGATATCGTGCTCAGAATCCGATTTCGGAAGTTGGAGTAGGTCTACAATCTTGAATATGACTTGTGTTCAAAATTTGAGGACATTCAGACGTGGTTTGATAGGTTTCAACATCAGTTGTGGAAATTTGATGTTTCAAGTTCTTTAA